GGCTTGCGAATCGAAATCGAATCGGGATATCTGAATCGATAACCAGCCGTAGTCGTTAACGTATCACTATGCCTTTAGGTTCGGTTTCTTTAGGTTCTGTCAAAAATACCAGTGTGAACGCCAAGCGGACCAGGACCAAATGTATCGTTTTCTTTTTTGGTCCGGACCAAACGAACCAAGAGAACCGAACTACAAGCGTGAACGCACCCTAAGATTAAAAAAAATTCCACAAATTATTTCTAACATTCTCTCTGCCATCTGTTTTTAAAGGCATACAAACCTCTGGTCGTGAATAAAAAATAAAATACAATCCTGTAGCAGATCAAGACCCCAGTTACACACGTCATGGTCTGCGTCAGCAGGTTCAAGCGTGACTCAAGCCAAATGAACACGTGGTGAGGAATTCATTAAGAGCTATGCGTGACTTGATGGCGCAAGCTTTCCTAACTCAAACAAATGTAAGATTACGATCACGTAGTATTAAGCGTGTGTCCATCGGTTGGTCGAATTGAAAGTAAATCAATAGAGTTGTTTACAGACACCGTTAAAGGAACTTGAAATGTCCAGAAACCACGTCAGCGTATTTTAAATGCGTTTTATGATTTGTTTAGAAATTATATCGATGCAGCTAGTACGGTGTAATGTCGAGTCACCCGTATTGCACCCGAGGTCGATATACACACGGATAATTACCCGCTCGAGCTCATCCCACTCCGCTATTTTTACATCGAAATAAACACGTCGGACAGCCCTTACTACCGTAAACGATTAAAACACAGCCCGAGTAGACGTATATTTGTTTCAACAGACCTCAGGCTCGTAATGTTGCGCGATCGTCGCGGTGGTGCAGAATGCGTCACGGTTAGCGCGCGGCGCCATTTTGTTCCCCTCCGTCAAGCTAGTTCACACCCATTAGCTAGTTATAAAAGCCTCCAAAACACTCGTTTCCCAGACTCGGGTATCCAAAACGCTTTCACAAATGTGTAATAGATATTGACAAATCGGTTTATGCAAATGACCGGTCGGATACTCACCGTTTTCGTAAAATAAAGACATAAACACAACGCTAGTCGTCCACCGACGCAGTGAAGGGTTGACAGCGGAGAGCCTGGAGATGTTGGGTCGTGATCCAAAGAATGTAACACGACACAACGGCAAAGACAGATTAGACCTGGAAGTGCTGAGCGATGCAGCCGATCGATCAGGCGAGGGACGTCAGATCTCCGGGGAGAAGCTGGATTAGAAGAAGAGGGTTATATTTGTCAAATGTAACTTGGCAACACCCTTGCTGTGATACTTGTTAAGCTAAGCAGCTCTCCGATTCGCTATGATAAGAAAACAAACTGTTTTTTAAACGACTGCTTTGGCATTTGGTAGACTCAAACACTACAGATATGTCTGAGACGTGTTAATTAATCAGCAGGTAGTGCTTTAATATTGGTTCAGGTCACGTCTTACCTTCCCAGAACCTTCTTTGCTCCTCGCGATGGCAGAATGAGCAGTCGGAGCTGATGATGGGCGTGTACCTCGAGTGGAATCCACATCGCCCCGCCCACCGCGGCTATTCATTGGCTATAATTACTTCCTGTTTTCAATTTCTTAACGTTGATTGGCTCCTTTTAACGTCAATCATTTTTGTACCACATAATCACTATTTATTTCGGTTTCCGTTCGTCTGATGCAACTCATACTGCGCAATGGAGAGTTATAGGTTAAGTTAGCCTAGTTTAGGCTTTTTGCATCAAACAAAATGCAATGTCCTCTAAAAGAGAATTTTGAATAAAGGTACAGCGTATCCTCCTGAGACCCAGAAAAAAAGTGTTATGATTTTTTTTCATGTCATTACATTGGTTGGAGCATAAGAAACAAAAACGTTTTTTTTTTTTAAATGTATTTTATTCATATTTTATTCTATGTACTTTGTAGAAGATCACCAATCAGTTTGTAGGTTTCAGGCTATTTTTAACCAAACTTTGTACAAAGATGATTCTCAACTATGTTATGAAAGATATAACAGAATGATTTGATATACTACTGTACTTTATGGAATATGTGTGTAAAATGTCCATAAACTGGTATTCCGAATCACAAAACATTCTCTGAACTGGTGAAAAAATAATATTTATTTTTTATAAAATAACTTGTTTTTAAGGGCCGATTTCCTGATGCACTTGACCATTAGAAATATTCAGCATAATTGTTCCACATACAGTACAGAATGGGGGAAGGAAGTTACCAATGCTTTGTTCAAAGACTTCCCTCAGGAGAGGTAAACCCAGATCAACAATTAACGCTTCACTACAAATGCAAACATGTATTTACATGTTTTCATTGTGAGAGTATTCAAGCAGAGGATGAGTGATTTTGTTTTCATCAGACAGTGCGGTGAAGTCTTCTTCTGATTGTTTTGCAGTGAGCAGTATGTACCTGGTCTGCTGCGCCGGAAGAGGGTGTTATCAGAGCGACAGGTGAGGGAAGTGCTGGATGAGATCCGGGAACCCTGCCCAAATCCAGATCCTACACACCTGTTTTCCTCTGAAGGGACTTTTTTGTTGTAAATAGCTTGAGGTCAGAGGGCAGTAAAAGTAAGCTTTGGAGAATGTCAAGCATTCAAACCTGATGTTAATTTTTTAACTATGTCCTAAATCCTCTTTTTCACACCTGTCTACAAATTTTTGGTGATCCGATCAAAGTGAAAATACAAGTGAATTGGAAACAATTACCCCTGTAAAGACTGACATTTGAAATAATAGCCAGAACAGTTATTTTTATTTTAAATGGAACAGTTTATTGAAAATTTATATGCCCACTAACATAAAATGAATATAAATATCAGTTGTCACTCTGTATCTTCCAATAGTATAAAATGATATTTAAATGCTTAGTTTTATTATCAAAGCTCTGTAGTTTTTATTGTGGGGGCAAAACATAATGCAATGCAGTACAATGATTGTTGAGAAATGAACAAATACATATTTCTCAAAAGCCTTATGTGTAATATTTGATATGCATTTTAACATGATTTTTCAAAAAAAAAAGGATAATCAATTAATCCTAAGCTGCTTCAGTCCAGTAAGTGTTCATCTTAAATATTACTAACAATATAAAAGTCATTCTTACGTTTACTTTCTACGATTTCAAAATATACATGCACCATGACCTGAAGGTGGACGTTTTTACGATTATACTAAAAGGCAAAGTATCAATCAGATCAGAAGGCATGCAGTAGATTGTGTACAACAGGTTTTTAAGCAAGGTTTTGATTATATTTATTTTTAGAAGCCTTTGAAATTTGTGTATCAAATATGATACAGTAGGCTTTAGGGTTTAAGCAGTATTAAAGCACTGAAAGGTAATCAGCATGGTTGTCAGCATGTCATTATTTCATAGTGATAGGGAATAGATGGGTTCTGTCTTACCACATTACTGCACATGATCTACCATGTTTGTGTGTTGGTTCAATATAAGCACAGGGCACTGCCCTTGCACTTCTAAGGGCTGTTTTCCCTATTTTCCCTTTCCCTGTTACAAAATGTAACTTCTTGTCAATGTGCATGGTCTTATGTACAATATGATGATATTAGTTTGTAACACAGTGTAGTGAGTATTTGTAAGGCACACCCAAGGGCTAGGCTTCACTTTCGTTTTCACTTACATGATGTAACATGTCATAGCTTTCAAATAGCCTTTATGCTCCAAGGCCATGGAATCAGTGAGGTATGAGGAAAGTACCAAGCAACCAACATAAGCTGCAAACCCATTGGCTGGAATGTTCATTCATGAGGGGAAACTCCCATAAATGTACCTGCTTTGAGCACTGCAATCTCACCATTTACTCGGAGGTATTCTGCGGGACAAGCAAGCTTTTTATTTGTGTCAGGCAAGTGTGAAGTTCAAACAAACAAAAATGCTAAGCGCGTTGAGGTGGAAAAAAAAGAATGGGAATGAAGAGACCCCTTTAATGAAAAACATAGAGCAGACAGATGGTAAGACACTCTCTTGTTATTTTTCTATAATAGGTATTGATCTCACACATTTATGAAAGTAAGCATCTTTGCACTTGGAAAAGCCAACATCTTTCCATCGGTATACAATGCAAGCATATTGTTTAAAGTTTTGCAACAGTTTGTTTGGTGCCATGGTTTGATGAATCACATTTGGGTTTTAGTGGTTAAACTTTCAAATCATGTGACACTCTTTTTTTTGTCTATTTATTTATTGAAGAGTGCATTAAAATCCAATTTTCACATACAATGTCTTGAATATGCATGTATATGCATATATATATATATATATATATATATATATA